AATCTAAAATTAACATAGTTGAAAATGAACAAAAAGCAGTATATAATTAACTTATCTATTATTTAATTAAGTAAACATATAATGTTACAACTTTTTGAATGAAAAAAATATCATTTTCTTTCATTATAAAAACATTTATCATTTGTCTTATCTTAATCGTCCTTTCATCTCATATGATCCATATTTTTAATTACAAATTATTAATTTTTCATTTTTTGAGAATAAAATTATCTTAACCAACTCAATTTTGCCAACAATTATTATGCTAATTGTATGGAAAAATTTTTGAACATTTCTATTTTCGAAAGAATTATTCGAAAATTTCATTTCGTGTATAAATTTATCAATTTTACACTCGTAGAAATTAGCTTTGTTTAGGGAAAGCAAAGATGTAAATTCTAAGCAGAAAATAAAAGTAATGGGAGAAATTCAAAGTATAATTTAAAATTTTATTAAAATTCAAAAAATTTTCCCAAATTGGAGCACAAGCATTCCTGAATAACATTCTAACTGTTAGTTATTTTCCATGAATAATAATAATTAAAATTGTGGTGAATGAGTAATTCGGTAATTGAATATTTGTGTAAGCGTACCCTTCACGCTCCTTCCATATGCAACTATCAAATGCTATTTGCAAAAATCACTTTCTGCAAAAATTTCTTTGTCCAATGAATTAAATTTTCAATCTGTCATCTTTTTTTTAACTTAATTTTGAGTATGATATCGTAATAAATTTATTAATTCCAATTTCGATATATCTTTTCTAGCAAATTACACTTTTAAACTCGCAAAAGCGTCAACTATTTTACTAAAATTGTTTACTTTTAAAAGTAATACGTCACTTACTAGTAATATACGTTGTGAACGTTAAACTTATTCTCAGTTGACGTGCTGTATCTTTTTTGAAATTGCCGAGCAAAAGAAGAAAATATGGAAAGTTAGAAAAGTGAAAATTTGTGAAACGAACTGTTCCATACGATGTTATGAATGTAATAGAACGCGAACAATTCTAAAAATAGCAAACAATTTAATCGAAATGATATATTTGTATTACAATTTGAATATATAAATCAGATAAAGCATTGTTGTATTTCATACAAATTGCTTATGGAAAGTATTCATTATTAACTGAATTGCTCACAAAAAAAAATTTTTTTCATTGTTATTAGGAAAAATCAATACTATAAAAAAAAGTATATATTTATGTTATGACATTTTATCATTTCTTTTTTTGACCTTCATTTACTGAGCCAATTGCTGCTAAATTGCACAATATTATTAGAAAATTTTCTAAAATTAAAGAAAAAAATAGTACTGAGTTCTTTTCTTACTTAAAATTATTTTTACTCAATTTCAAATTAATTGAAGTATTGCAAATTCAACGAGAATAAAATTATAGGGTAAACATAAATAATGTATGTCGTTTTTGCAGATGGATATCAATAATATCTGATTTTAAAATTAATTAAAATTAGATAATCAGTTTTGTTATCAGGTTGTTTTAGAAAAGCATCGGTGAGGCCAATAAATTTTTTCTTTTTTTTATTTGATTTAAAATCTCTCAATCAAATTAAAAGAAGCCGTCTTCATTGTGATTTGCATTTAAACAACAAAGAAAAATGAATCCATTTTTGCCTTTATATCCTTCCTTTTGTATTTGATTAGAAAAACGAGAAAGGGAGGGAGAAAGAGGGAGAGAGAGAGAGAGAGAGAGAGAGAGAGAAGTACAAAAAATTGATATGGAAAAGAAAAAAGGGGAAGGGGGATAGATAGCTGTGGAATTGAAATGATTTTTACCCATCATCTACAATCATCAATAATATGCTATCTCATTCTTTTCTGTTCTTTTTTTTCTTTTTTGAATGCAGTTATTATGACCTTTAACCTGTTGCTCAATAGATGATCCTGAAATGTGTAGTGTTAGCCATTTTGAAGAATGAAAAATACACATATACGACATGTATTTGTAGCATTCTTTCCTGTAAATCGTTTCACATTTTTGAAAGGGAAGGGGAAAGGGTAGAGGGGGTAGGCGGGGGAGGGGAGGGGAAAGGGAGGAGATATTTTGTTTTTTAAATCTGATGATTAGTTATTCCATCATGAATCATTGCGCTTTTTTCCCCTGCCATTTTTTCGTTTTTTTTTTGTACAAATTTTGTTTTTAATTTATTTGCCCTGTTTTTTAATATCATCCTGTCAATTTCAATTTCTATTTTACATTTAGTATTGGTTTTTGCTCAATTTTATAATAATTGTCATTGGTTTTGATGAATTTTATTGCTATGATAATAGCATGATAAGAAATGTCTAACAGCTGATTTTGATTATAATGAAAAAAAAAGAGCAATTTCGTTTTATGCAATTAATTCCTCTTACCTTATTTTTCTTTCCTCGAAATATTTGTTTATTGTTTATTTACTTATTTGCGTTTTTTCTTTGGCTTAAATTTATAAGTTACAATGCTGTCGGTTTCCTTTTATTTCAGCAAAGTCGATAATGTAAAATTAAATGGAATGAAACTGAAACAAGTTCAAAAATTTTAGTTCTTTTGAGTGAGAAGTATGACAGGCAATCAGTCTTTTCATTTTTTCTTTTCCCTTTTCAGTAAAATATATTCAAAGAAAAAAAAAACAGCGTGAAATTTGAAACTTCTAATTTGAAAATTCTAAAATTTTAGCAAAACAATTTTTGCAAATTTTTTCATTTTCTCTTCTCTTAGTTAATTTAATTGAAAAAGTTTTATTTTTGCTGATTTAAAGCTCATTTTAATTTATCCCTTTCTACCCCAATTTATATAAATGACAACTTTTTTTCAACTTTTATTAAGTTGGTCATAAAAAAGAAACTGATTATTGAATTAATCAAACAAACAGATTGTCATGCAGTGTTAATCAATCAGAATTAAGAATTACGAAGGAATGCTATCATTATTGCTTAATTTTACATATAATTCCTAGCACATTAAAATTGAAACTCGGAACAGCTCAGTGAGATTAGTTTAAATTATATAAAGTATTATTAGCATTTGTAATAAAAGTAGCACAATGATGATGATGATGATGATGATAATGATGTTCCCTTCTATTACCACCACCGCACTTCCCCACCAATCCATTAATTATCCACCCACCCAATCAACAGCACCTCTTCCCTCTCCCCCTCTTCCCATTTCTGGAATTTACCGATATTTAAGTGCAGATTGCGATCAAATCACTCCCTTATCTGTTTTTTTATTTTAATTTTCCCATCATGCCTATCATTTTTTCCTTTCTTTTTTATTTGCAGTTAAATAGATTTTTGATATTGGAAAAATTTCAATCGATTAATTAACAATTTCAAAATTATTCCTTATGTTTCTTTTTTTTTTTTTAAAAAAAATTTACTTCCTTTCATAATTGTTTCTATTCGTCCCTTCTCGTTTCTAATATTGCGATGCATGTATTGAAACGAAAAATTTACTTTACATTGTTTACAATAATAATTCATTGAAATTCTTATCAGTTTTGTTGACAATTCATCAATCATCTATGACGATATTTTTAAAATAAATACAAATTGGAAGTAATATCAATTGAGGAATGTTAGGATAGATCATTGAAATTTCCAGCAATCTGCCAGATAGACTAGCTAGGCTGATGCAAACAGCCTGGGCTAGGCTAATATATAATGAGCAGAATAGTATTATTGTCTATCTTTAAATTTTAGTAAAAAATGAGGAACATAAAATGTAAAATCATGTATTGCACGATGTGCAAAAGAATAATCTTGGTCTAATTGTTTGTATAAAATTCTAATACCAAAAAAATTTAATATTTTTACTCAAACAATTAATTCTTATTCAATTAATAAATAAATTTCATTGTTACTGAAAAGATATTAATACTTGAAAGGCGATAAATTTTATCACTAACCGTCATCCTTTTTATGCTATTAATTAATTGACATTTTTTTTAATGACATCTTATCATCACATCTTATCAATGCGTAAACATTTACTGAATTGACAAAAACAATTTTTTTCACACACACACACACACACACACACACACATCCACATATTTTCTTATTAAATTAGATCGATTCAATTGCTGTCTTTGATTTTTATTTTTGGTGAATTTAAAATTCATATTGAATTCATATGAATGAATGATTAACACAGTATGTCTAATTTCTATACATGTATTTGTGCATAAATATATATTCCGATCATTTGATATTTTAGCTTCAACAATCATTTGACTGTTACAGTCATTTTCTGTGTTATGTCATTCTGTCTGATATTTTAAACATAAATTATCATTCATTCATTTCACACTTTCTATCATTCCTTTCAGTTTGTCATTTCAAATGCTGCAACTTTTTATGTAATCATTTTCTTTTTTTTTTTTGAAAAATATATGTTTATTTGTGGGAAAAAGAAAAATTGTTGCCAACTTTCTGCTTTGAATTGCTTTTTTTTTTCTCTCGCATTTTTTTTAACTAATACTATCATGAAATTAATTAATCAATTTCTAAACATAAAAATATGAATCAATGAAAAAAAAAAGATTTAACAAATAAGCAAAAATTTCAATGGAACTGCTTTAAGGAAATTAAAATACTCTCAAACAAGCCAAAAATAAATAAAAAATATGCCAGAATTTAACTTGCAACTAATAAATATTCAAATGTTTTTCGAATTGGGATTACAGGTAGTTCCAATTTGTTTAAATGTTTACTTAAAATGTGGCAAATTTCGACAAAGAAGAGGACAAATATGTAATTTGAAGTATTTTCCTTATTTCAAGAATATTTTTGTTTGTTATCGTGTGAGCAAAATAATGAAAACATTTGTTGCATTTATGCATTTTATTCGTATTTTATGCATTTCATATCATTTATTATTCAAATTCTTGTATTTTTTTTTTGCATGTACGAGTTTGATATTTTGGTATATTTTGTTTTTCTTTTCAGTTTTATGGAAAATTTTACAGTACATTTTTTTTGTGGGATACAATTTAATGGAATTTAGTCGTAAAAATCCCGGCCCAAGTAGTATAGTGGTTAGTACTCCACGTTGTGGCCGTGGCGACACAGGTTCGATTCCTGTCTTGGGCATTCTTGGCTGCCTCTAATTTTTCGCATTTTCAGATTTTCAAAGCAAAAACGAAAAAAAAAAAGAAGATATCAGATGGATTTTATAGCATCTACAACAGCATCACTTTTTACTTCCAGTTCTAACATGCTAACAGTCGAAACTTTTCAGGCAAGTATTTTTTTTAGCAATTTAAAAACTTTAAAACAGGTAATGATATGTAATGAAGTGAAAATTTACCTAAATATTTCATATATTTCCTCAATGCACATGTCTCATTTCGTCTAATTAAAGAGCCAATTCCTATGGGCCCTAATTCTTGGGATAGTGTTAGCATTCGTACTTGGATTTGCTATGGGCGCTAACGATGTCGCGAATGCTTTTGGGACATCAATTGGTAGTGGAGTGCTTACTCTACGAAAGGCATATTTGCTAGCAATTATATTCGAATCACTTGGCGCTATTCTTGTTGGTGTGTGTGCACATTTTTGACTTTTTATAATTTATAATTGAAATGGTTCAATCAATTTACTCTCAATTTCCATTGCTAATTATCATTTGATTGATGTCGCATAATTTTGATGCTATAACATTTCAATGAGTGATAAATAGAAAATCTTGAAAAATCGAACTTTGAATTGCTTGAAGAGACGACGGATGATTAAACTATAAAATGGAATTTAAATTTTATCTTTTTTTTTATTTATAAATAATACAAAAAAATTGATATTTTCCATATTAACTTTTTCAAAATTTTCAGGTTACAATGTAACAGATACAATACGAAAAGATGTCATTGATTTGAGCTTATATTATAATACACCAAGAGAGTTATTAGTTGGTCAAGTAGCCATTCTTGCAGGTTTATCAATTTTTCTTATCACTCGATAACATGAGAAATTTACGTAGAATTTATGCAATATATTCTTCCATATTTTCCGTTTTTAAAATTTTTCATCATAGTATGGAAATGGAAATATTTGCATGATGATATGCATTTCGGATATCTTTTATTATTGCTATTGGAAGCCTATCCATGTCTAACTTTAACATTGTTATCCTGAAATTTTAATATTAGCTGATCTCATCATATAACATTAGCAGTAAAAGAGAACGATTACAGTACGTTGACATATAAAAACTTTAAAAATCATTTTGACAGTTTTAAAAACTGGCAGGAAAACGAAACGAACGATTAAGTTAATCGTAGGAATATTTTAATAATTATTATTGTTAATCCATTTCAAAAAAACCAAAAATATAACATAAATCAGTGCCGATCAACGAATGAATTGGAACCGTTGATAATTGTTGATGCTAAAGATCGATCAATATTTCCTCTGATATTTTTTGATGACAAAAACCTGAATGATTTCAGGATGTTCAGCATGGTTATTAATAGCAACATTTGCACAATTACCTGTTTCAACAACACATAGCATTACCGGTGCAACGGTTGGTTTCGGTTTAATAATGAAAGGAACACAGGGAATTCATTGGTGGAAAATTTTCAATATTGGTGCGTTCAATT